CGTTACGACGTCCTAGGCCCCTGGGTGGGGCCCGACTAGTAACCAATGCCAAATCCGGCGAAACAACTGGCCACTGTGATACAATTCTGTTGTTGTGAATAATAATAATAATAATAACATATTTATTATGTGGCTGTTTCCAATCAAATTAATGGGCTTTTCATAAATCTTTCTCCCAACATATTTGAACATTTAATCCAGTCATTCAAATGACCAAATAAATCAGGAATTCTTTGCTTAGCATATTGTTCAAACTTGGGATCTTGGCTTGTTATTCTCAATGAATCCAAGATTTAAGTCAAGAATAAATGATAGATTAATTGCATATTATAGTCTGATTTACTATGGAAGAGAAGGAAAAGAGAGATACGGTAAGAGAGATTACCAAGATACTTGGTTAATACATAAAGCGGAATAAATTCCTCATTATAAGGTACCAAGTGGGTGCAACGTCCACCAACATATATATTGTATACAATAAGTCAAGTGTCCTTCATCCACACATTGTTTATTGTTCCATGTGCATGTCTGCTCCAATATTACAGTTCTACTGACTGTATGACCACATTTTATTTATTTGACTTTTATCTCACTTTTATTATTGTTTATAAATAACTCAAGATGGCAAACATACTAAATACTCCTTCAGTTTCCTATTTTCCTCACAACAACAACCCTGTGAGGTGAGTTGGGCTGAGAGAGAATGTCAGGCCCAAAGTCACCCAGCTGGTTTTCTTATGCCTACAGTAGGATTATAACACATGGTTTCATGAGGCATCTTGGAGAACTATTAAAGCCAAGGCTTGTTAAGAAACTGTTATAATTATTCATAATAGCACCCAACAGTACTTACCATTTTGCCTATCATTGTCAGATAGGGGCCAGCATGCTGATTCACGGCAAAAAAATCAAGAAGTCGAGCATACCAGAATATTATATCCAAACAATAAATTAATCTTCCGACTGTTTGAAGTGGAGGATTAGCCCAGCGCAAACCAAATCCGGTCATGAACAGGATGATAGCAATAAAGTCTGTAAAATTCCAGTATTCATAAATCCATACTTTCACCTTTTGGATGAACTTGCTTGGCTCTGAAATAAAAATCTAAAGGCAGAATGATTTGTTATAACATTACTATATAAACAAAATTATGTATCTCAAGTGAATGACACAAGGCAAACGAAAAATACTTCATTTGACTTCTGAGTCATTACAACGCAAATGTCCAACACCTCTACACACTTACACATTAAATTAATTTTCTCTAGAAATGAAATAATTATTGTCAGCATCATTTGTTATATTCATTTTTTTATCCATAAAACAAAAATTACGATGCTTTAATGACTATGAATTATCAGCCTGAAATAGATATATTTTTAAGTTTTATGTAAGCTAAATTGTAATGATAACTTAGAAAGAAGCCAATTTTAGGTTTTAAAAGATCTTAGTTTATTTTCATTGTTAATGTTTTGCCAAATATGGGTTATTTCTGATAACAAGAAAATTTATCCTGATTCAGATTTGCTTCAGATCAGGGAGTGATGTCTTCTTAGAGAGCTACAATATACACAAGTGAGATATATTGACCATGTCTTCAACCTGAAACATTCTATTTTTGGTGGTGGTGGGGGGAATACTTGAATAGTAAGTGGAGGCCTAATTACTTTGTGTCTTCTTTATTCTTCAAACAGTAGGGGGAAGGTCTAATTTATTCATTGATTTTTCTCAAGTTTTATGGATTTTGACTATGATCCTTCCATAGAATTCTTCAAATTTTAAATTTTCGTTATGGTAGATGCAATCCTATATCAATTTTGACTTATTGTCTCCCAGTTAATTTTTTAATCGGATTTTTTTCCATATCTTCTAGAAAGGTTAATCATTTCATTGAACCAGAGCAATGGGGGAAGAGTATCTTTATTGTAAAGTGGTGACTCTCACCTTGACAAGTTCATTCGCACATAGCTCATTTAGCTGTAGACAGAAACCTTATGCCCCAATGAAGATCCATGAATACATTCACCAGTAAGTTGTAAACTGAAAGTTTAAGCTATGGCCTATTTTTCAATAGCCCACATCTTGGACTTTCAATTTACAACTTACCGGTGAAAGTATTTGTGGTCTGGGATTCAGAAGCACATGCATGAAAGTTGCAGATAAAAGAAACTATTAATTCCTTGGTCTGGAAAAACCTTCATTTTGCATGCAGACTATTGCAACAACAAAAAAAAAATAATGCAATTTTGTTCTTATTGCTTTAAATGTTCAAGCCTAATTATCTTGATGGTTAATAGATATTTGGGACGTCCTTTTTTGCAACTTAGGAAAAGTTGATTAAGGTAGCAAACTGGCAAGATGACAGAAAGGAATCATTCAGTGAAACTTTGGAACAATGGTTGGGGGCCTTTAGCAGAAGGAACTGTTAGGAATATAATCTAACAGTTGGGTTGGCAATATATAAATCATGTAACAATGCTATACCTGTTTCTTTAAATCATACTGTAAAATGTGATTGGTTGCTGTTTCCTCAATTGTCCATAAGAGGGAGCCAGAAAGACTGTTAGTTCTCTGTTCGTTAGATGCTGGGCTGATCTGATCTGAGTGTTTTTGGAAGCAGGAAGTACTGTGAGCTATTGTAAGTTTTGAAATTGTTAGCAAACTTTGTGTACCAGACTGTTTATATGACACTGGACTATGTTATTTGGATTATCCCTTAACTTAAAGACATTGATGACTGACTGTCTTATCCGTGTATGATTTGGACTGTTTGATGGACTCTGATACTTCTATTTCCATGAAAGTAAAAGCCTATTTAAACTGCAGCGTCTCTGTATGCTGGTTTGTGTGTTCTCCAACACAACTCTCACAACGCTTCGCTAACGTATTCGCTCTCCCAATGGGGAGCTTACCTAACAAGAACAATTGCAATTACTCAAATTACTCAATCAACCACTGTTCAAAAATCCTTAATCTCAGATTTTGTCAGTTCTTCCAACTGAAATGTATTTCTATGTCTATGTCTATTTGTTCTCTGTTTCATTAGAGTGACCAAAGGGCTAAAATAGCTATACCTGTGTTTAAAAAATAGCTAGCCCTCTGGCAAAATGAAATATTAATAAACAGCATATAAAATCAAGGAAGCAGAAGGGAAATTAAAAGAGCTTTGGTCAAATGAAGTATGAATTAATAAATTAGCTTTCTTCTGATACAAAAAATGGGGTGGGGACAAATTGTTGCCATTTTTAAAAGGCATGCCAATCCTGAAAGGAGAAATTTTTGACCTTACAAGAAGAAAAATTTAGTGGTGAAGCAGGGGGTTTCTGGAACAATAAGATTGCCCTTCAGGGCTTTGTCAACAAGGCAAATTATGAACTGGAAACTTTGGAAGGTCATTAAAAAAGATTTCTTAACACATTACACAGTACAAACTAATTATACACTGCCATGATCGTGCTGATAAGCTCCAAAGTGAAGGGGTGATGTTAAAATGTTTGCCTCCAACCAAAAAAATAGAGAAACATATAAATGACTCTAGGTGTAGGAGTCCCATTGAGCTGAAGGATACTATTAGAAAAGGTGCTATTTACAGAAATGTTGGTCATGAGTTAGCAATTACTTAAAGCAATCTAAGAGGCAAATGTCTGCATAGAGCAAACACTCATGAAGTTAATTTCCCATATGTAGAACACAATGTTCTGCAAAATTGTACTTGGTAAACCAAGAACCAGTGCACAATGCTGTTTCATAAAGGAATAGTTTCACAATTAGTTGCTGTATTGAAGCCTGATCTCTAGCATATACACAGACAACACTTAGTTAATCTGTACACTTAGGGCTGAATTTTTTTTAGAGGACGGGTGCACAGCATTTCATGAAAAAAACTTGGTCTTTAAATAGCATGGTAAAGATTGCACGCTAAAAAGTAAGAGGCAACACCAGCATTAAAAAAGTACATTTCATTTCTATTTAATGTATATATTTACCAGATTCACTTAACAACCATGTTACTAACTTTAAAAAAGCAGTGATTCCCTTAACAACTGTGGCAAGAAAAGTCATAAAATGGGACACAATTCACTTAAACACTGTCTTGCTTAGCATCAGAAATTTTGGGCTAAACTATGACTGTAAGTCGAAGACTACTTCAGTGGTGGGTTCCAGCCAGTACGCCCCAGTACAAGTGTACCGGTGGTAGCTGAGAGGAACTGCCACTGTACCAGAACAGTGTTTTGGTGGGCCAACCCTCCCGTCCGCATTCCTTGCCTTCTTTTAAGCCAACTGGGCCATTTGCACATGTGGGCACAGCGTTCAGTGCCTGTGTGATCTCCGCAGTGCAGCTGGTAGATGAGCATCGCAGATGGGTGGGTGCACATGCATGCACAGTGTGCGTGCCTGAGGGGGACGCCCAACTCTGTCACAGTGTACCAGTTGCGACGGGATCCGGAACCCACCACTGGACTACTTGCAATTTTACATGTATCTGGATGTATTCTTAAATAAGAATTGACTACTACAGAAATAATGCTAGCATTAAATAAAGGGCATACCTCTCTGGCTTTCTCAATGAAGGTAGTAAAAATGTAGGTGATCACAAGCCATTCTTGAGCACTGGGGGTTGGTTTCATCTTCACCAGGATTGTGTAAGTAAACAGCATGAGAAAGGCTATATAGGCCATCTAGCAAATATACAATAAACATTTTATAATTGACAGCTGTGACAAAAATGAGCAACTAATAGTTTACATCATCACAAAGCATTGTTATTCCATCATTTCTTTCATTGTAAATGTTTTATTCATTTTCATTTTCAATTTTATACATTCACTTATATACTGGATATTGGCAATTATAAAATGTTTATTGTATATTTGCTAGATGGCCTATATAGCCTTTCTCATGCTGTTTACTTACACAATCCTGGTGAAGATGAAACCAACCCCCAGTGCTCAAGAATGGCTTGTGATCACCTACATTTTTACTACCTTCATTGAGAAAGCCAGAGAGGTATGCCCTTTATTTAATGCTAGCATTA